AATTAGCATGCGCGAAGAAAAAGATTAAACTGAATCACACTGTGTAAAGTGAAAAGGTAAAATATGCAGATAAACGGGGATATTGATGGAATTTATGTTTCGAGTATCCCAGAAAAGTTCAAAATATTTAAATTCATGATCCAATGGATTAGCTAAACCAATGGACTTCATTTGCTGCATATTTCAGTTACACGAAAATACTCCTACATACTTGTGGATATTACTTGAGATGTAATTGTACAACAAATTTCTCGAGTTTTAGTTCCATTGTTACCTCTTTGAACACATATAGCTTTATAAGACTGATACACATAGTCAAATAGTCTAAAATTGAAAATATGGGGTGGGATCATAGGATTGCAAGGCAATTAAACAACCACCTGCACTCACTTCAGGCTTTCCATGCAGTTTCATCATTATAGGAATTGATGGTCCATATACATCAGCATCCAGCAGCCCAATTTTAAGCTGACACTTCTTGGCGATTGAAACCGCCAAATTCACTAAATATTAACAAATTTTAGTAATCCAATTGTAGTGTTATTAAATGTCAAACTAACACACATGCCACAAAACCAACTTCTAATACAAACTAAAACCAACGAGAATCACTTCCTATACTCATTTCACCTGTATATATTAATCATCCATCCCCCCAAAAATACAAGTTCCCCTTATATATTGTGAAATAAGATGTAATAAGCAAAGAATAAATTGTTACAAGATACCAGCGGTAGTGGATTTTCCAACGCCACCCTTGCCAGAAGCAACTGCTATGATATCGTTAACCCCTTCGATTTTCAGGTTTTGCAGATGGGGTTCCTTTCCACTCTGCAAAGCAAAACCCCTGGTGGCTCCAGGCTTCAAAAATTGACACAAGAATCAATCTTCGTCTTTGTTGTAGAGAATTTAGATGTGGAAATTTGATGAAACTCGTAAATGAAAAACTTACAGCGAAGTGTCTCGGAAAACGGTTCATGAACGAATTCAGTTTAAAAATCGACAGAACAGAAAAAAATTTGCCACAAATAGTACAAACTTCTCGAGGCTCTA